AAAGATGGGATTAGAAGTCAGAAAGACATGCATTTGGATCCTGGGCTTAAGCAATTTACCCACAATGACTTTAGGTTTTCTCAGCTGTAACATGACGGGGGCCGGCTTGTTGGGGTATCTGTCCCACCTGGTACTCCACAGCCGGCAAGTCCCAAAGAAAATCACGCACAAGACTCCATAAGATTATAAACTGATTGGCCCATTAGGTCAGGCTACTTATTAGTTCTTATAACTTATCTTAACCCATTATTCTGATCTATGTTAGCCACATGGGCTCAGTACCTTTCTCGGTGTGACAGCTTACATGTTGCCTCTTCGGTGGTCTGTACAGGAATGGTGAGAGAGCTTCTGCTTCCAGAATACTTCCAGTCTCTTTTCTCCACCCCTACTTCCTGTCTGGCTTTCCCGCCTATACTGCCTGCCTGGCCAATCAGCGTTTTATTAAAATATGATTGACAGAATACAGACAATTCTCCCACATCACTCAGCTATAAAGTGAGAATGAGAGGCTAAAGAGATGGCTCAGAAGTTGAAAGTGGAAAAGCAAAAAAAAAAAAAAAAAAACCAGAATAGCCAAAACAGTTCTGAACAATAAAAGAACTTCTGGAGGCATCACAATCCCTGACTTCAAACTCTACTATATAGATACAGTACTGAAAACAGCCTGGTATTGGCATAAGAACAGACAGGAGGACCAATGGAACCAAATAGAAGACCCAGATATCAATCCATACATCTTCGAACACCTGATTTTTGACAAGGAAAAAAAAACTATCAAATGAAAAAAAAAAAAAAAAGAAAGCATATTTAACAAGTGGTGCTGGCATTACTGGATATCAACAAGTAGAAGAATGAAAATAGACCCATATCTATCACCATGCACAAAACTCAAGTTCAAATGGATCAAAGACCTCAACATAAAGCCAACCACACTGAATCTTACAGAAGAGAAAGTGGGAAGTACACATGAATGCATTGGCACAGGGAACCACTTCCTAAATAGAACCTCAGCAGCACAGACACTGAGAGAAACAATTAATAAATGGGACCTCCTGAAACTGAAAAGTTTCTGTAAAGGAAAGGACACAGTCAATAAAACAAAATGGCAGCCTACAGAATGGGAAAAGATCTTCACCAACCCCACATCAGACAGAGGGCTGATCTCCAAAATATACAAAAAAACTCAAGAAATTGACACCAAAAAAAACATAATCCAATAAAAAAAAAATGGAGTACAGACCAAACAGAGAACTCTCAACAGGGTAATCTAAAATGGCTGAAAGGAAATGTTCAACATCCTTAGTCATCAGAGAAATGCAAATCAAAACAACTCTGAGATTCCATCTTACACCTGTAAGAATGGCCAAGATCAAAAACACTGATGATAACTTATGTTGGAGAGGTTGTAGGGTAAAGGGAACACTTCTGCATTGCTGGTGGGAATGCAAGCTGGTACAGCCCCTTTGGATGTCAGTGTGGCGATTTCTCAGAAAATTAGGAAACAACCTTCCTCAAGACCCAGCAATACCACTTTTGGGTATATATCCAAACGATGCTCAATCGTGCCACAAGGACATAAGCTCAACTATGTTCATAGCAGCTTTGTTTATCATAGCCAGAACCTGGAAACAACCTAAATGTTCCTCGACCAAAGAATGGATAAGGAAAATGTGGTATGTTTACACATTGGAGAACTACACAGCAGAAAAAAAATCACAACATCTTGAATTTTGCAGGAATGGATGGAGCTAGAAAACATTATTTTGAGTGAGGTAACCCAGACACAGAAAGACAATTATCAGTCGGGTAGTGGTGGCACACGCTTTTAATCCCAGCACTTGGGAGGCAGAGGCAGGCAGATCTCTGTGAGTTTGAGGCCAGCCTGTTCTATAAGAGCTAGTTCCAGGACAGGCTCCAAAGTCACAGAGAACCCTGTCTCGAAAAATCAAGAAAGAAAGAAAGAAAGAAAGAAAGAAAGAAAGAAAGGAAGGAAGGAAGGAAGGAAGGAAGGAAGGAAGGAAGGAAGGAAGGAAGGAAGGGGGAGGAACTGAGGGAGGGACGGAGGGAGGGAGGGACAGAGGAAGGAAAGAAAGAAAATTATCACATGTACTCACTCATAAGTTGTTTTAAACATAAAGCAAAGAAAACCAGCCTACAAGCCACAATCCCAGAGAATTTAGACAACAATGAGGACACTAAGAGAGACTTACATAGATCTAATCTACATGGGAAGTAGAAAGTATAAAAAGACAAGATCTCCTGAGTAAATTGGGAACATGGGGACCTTGGGGCAGGGTTGAAGGGGGAGGGGAGAGGCAGGGAGGGGAACAGAGGAAAATGTAGAGCTCAATAAATATCAATTTTAAAAAAAGTTGCCTTGCAGTGGTGGTGCACGCCTTTAATCCCAGCACTCTGGAGGCAGAGGCAGGAGGATCTCTGTGAGTTCAAGGCCAACCTGGTCTACAAGAGCTAGTTCCAGGACAAGCTCCAAAGGTACACGAGAAACCCTGTCTTGAAAAACCAAAAAAAAAAAAAAGAAAGAAACTAATAACATCAATTCTTAGCTTTACTATGATCATCTCTTCTCCAGCAGGCAGAAATCCTTCCTACGGCCCATCCATAGTGCCTTTGCTAGGGAAAAACCTGCAGTGAACAAAAAGGAGCTATTTTTCCTATCATCTCACTGGGGCTCTTCACAAAAATGTGCAGCGTGTGTCTCTACTGAGATCAATATGGCTAAGATGGGGAAAAAAATAATGCCACAATAAATCAATAGAACTGTTGTGGTAAGCACAAATCCACGTAGAAGAAAGTACAAATTCTAACAGATTAAATAACTTTGGTAGCTCTATCCTTCCTATTTTGAAACTATTTTCCTCCCAAAACATTCTCTCTCTCTCTCTCTCTCTCTTGGTTTTTTGAGACAGGATCTCTCTGTAGTTTTGGAGCCTGTCCTAGAACAAGCTCTTGTAGACCAGTCTGGCCTCGAACTCACAGAGATCCACCCACCTCTGCCTCCTGAGGGCTGGGATTAAAGGCATGCGCCACCACTGCCTGGCCTAGAACATTCTCTAAACTACATTTTGGGTTTTATTCTTTTTACGTTTATTTACTTTATTATTTATATTGATAGAGATTTGAGTCTGACAGATGTTTTACAATAGAAAGAAGTGAATTTTAATATTTGGATTTAGTAGCAGTATAACATTATCAATTAGCATTATATTTATAAAATTGTAATTTTTATTCCTGAGAAATGCAATGTAAAACATTCCTGTAGGTATAAATTTTCAGCTAAACAAAACAAGTAAATTAATGTCCAGTTAGGAATAGTGAACTAGCCACAAAAAAAAAAAAAAAAAGTCGGGCAGTGGTGATGAACACTAACTTTAATTCCAGCACTCGGGAGGCAGAGGAAGGTGGATCTCTGTGACTTGGAGGCCAGCCTGGTCTACAAGAGCTAGTTCCAGGACAGCCAGGGCTGTTACACAGAGAAAACCTGTCTTGAAGTCTTTAAAGACCAAAAAGGAAAAAAGAAAGGTAGAAACCATGTTAAGTGTTCCAACCACAACAGGAGGTCCAAACTTGCGGGTGTTACTTTGACTGTGAACAATTTCACGAGTGCAGGCTATCCAATCCCATCAAACTGTATTCATTAAACATGTGTAGTTAGGGTACAGCTCAGTGGTAGCGTGACGGACTGCTTGCCTAGCATGCCAAAGGTCACGGCTTCCATCCCAAGAACAAGAAAAAAAAGAGGAAGGGAGTGGGAGACAGAGGGAGGGCTAGAGGGAGGGGGAGACAGAGAGAGGGCTAAAGGGAGCATTTTTATGTGTGGACAGAGGGAGGAAGAATTTTTATGTGTGGGGGGGATGTGCCTCACAGCACTGGTTTCCAGATTATGGTGACTTTTTTTCTTTCTGTTATATAAGTAATAACAATTAATTTATGAGTCATTACACTTTGTTGTTGTTGTTTTGAGACAGGGTTTCTCTGTCTGACCTCGAACTCACAGAGATTCCCCCTGCCTCTGCCTCCCTCCATTACACTTTCCATTAATAGAAAAAATACAAACGTATATGCAGAAAGAATTCTGACCACCAAAAGGTGATAGTGCGCCTTTAATCCCAGCACTCAAGAGGCAGAGGCAGGTGGATCTCCTTGAGTTGGAGCCCAGCCTGGAGTACAGAGTGAGTTCCAGGACAGCCAAAGCTACACAGGGCAACCCTGTCTCGAAATGACCAAAAAGGAAAAGCTAATGCAACAGCACTCTAGTTTGATACCTTCTCAGGACAGACTTTACCTTTAATTTTTTTTTTTTTGTCTGCCTAAGTGGCCCAATTTTGAGTTGTTATGTGCGTACTTTTAGCTCACCTCATTCAATTGCCATATACTCGGTTGCTTATGGGCTGGCAAGATGGTTCAGTGGGTAAAGGTGCCTGCCACCAAGTCTGATGACCCTGACCCTGACTGAGTTCAATCCCCAGGACCCACATGGTGAAGACAGACTAGTAACTCCTGGAAGTCGATTTTCTGACCTTCATCCACAAGCCATAGCACTCACACACAAACATGCATACATATGTATATACATGCATACATATGTATATACATGTATACATATGTATATGCATGCATACATATGTATATACATGTATACATATGTATATACATGCATACACACAAAATAAATAAAAATTTAATAAGATGGTTATTTGTAATATTCATGGGCTAGGATGTAGCACAGAGGTAGGGGCTTTCCTAATACTAACAAGACTTGAAGTTCAATCCCCTGGTACCGAGAGAAAGAGAGAGAGAGAGACAGAGAGAGAGAGAGAGAGACAGAGAGAGAGAGAGAGAGAGAGAGACAGAGAGAGAACCACCCCAATACAATGTACAAATTTCCCAATTAAGTTGGACAGCACTAAGGGAAGGGATTAATCCTCTGCTAAAGAACACATGCTGTCATACACATAGCCGGAAACTGTGCATTTACCAACCTGACTTTGTTTTTGTTTTAATCGCTGTCAAGGACACCTGACAGTACAGCTTCCTGAAAGAAGTAGAACGTGGTGTGGGGTTTCAGGGTCCTCTAGAGGAACAGAACCGGTACAGTGAGTATACAAAAGGGTTTACGCGTGGTCTGAGCTGTCCCCACAGTAACTGTCTTTACACTGAGGAAGCTAAGAACTGGTAGCTGCTCCGTTCACGAGGCTGGATTGCTCGGCAATCCCAACCGGTCAATCGATGCTGAAAGCCCGGTAGACGGCTCGGCAATCCCAATCGGTCTGTCGATGCTGAAAGCCCGGTAGATGGCTCGGCAATCCCAATCGGTCTGTCGATGCTGAAAGCCCGGTAGATGGCTCGGCAATCCCAATCGGTCTGTCGATGCTGAAAGCCCGGTATATGGCTCGGCAATTCAATCGGTCTGTCGACACTGAAAGCCTGGTAGATGGCTCGGCAATCCCAATCGGTCAGTAGATGCTGAAAGCCCGGTAGATGGCTCGGCAATCCCAATCGATCAATCGATGCTGAAAGCCTGGTGAATGGTTCGGCAATCCCAATTGATGCTGAAAGCCTGGAAGACTAACTGGAGAGCTTCTTCATTGCACATAGAAGGCAAAAGCATCTGAGCTCTGACGTCAGTGAGAAATGGTGGCAGTGGCAACAAAGTAAATGAACCCACACACAGGGAAGGGAAACTCACCGATAAGACACCAGTAAGAAAGCAAAAAGCAAAAGCTTGTCCCTTGGACCTTATTATAACCGGCCCACCACTCGAAGGTGCTGCCCAGAATTAGTGTGGGTAGTTCCACGGCTGTTAACTTAATAAGGAAATCCTTCGCAGGTGTGCTCAGACTCCGTCTCTTAGTTTCTGATGCAGTCCAAATTGAAAGTCGAGTCCACCCATCACACGTGGGGAAGCATGTCCAGATTCGAAAACTCTTTCCTGAAAACACTGTCATGCATGCCTCCTCTGGAATGCATTACACACGCGCCACTTGTGCTCCCAAACGTGGGAGTGAAAATATGTCCCCTAACTTTCATAACCATTAGGGAAATACTTTATATTTCCTTTAGACAATATGAAGGACTATTTCCTTCATGGAACATTTCCCATAGAAACCTCCTGAAGGGAGAAAGCTTGTTTGCCTTCCCTGCGTACAGAGGCCCACAGCAAGCAGGACAGTGTCTGATACTGTTATGCCCAAAACTGTGAAGTCCCCCAAAAGCCAATAAGGAGACTGAGTCCATATGTAAAAGCAAAGAACCTTTATTTTATGCAAGTTTGCAAACACAGTCTCTCTGCATGTCCAACGTATTGAAATAAATGAAGAGCCCCGAGCTCAGTTAGAGTTGGGTTTTTATAGTAGTAAAGGTGGGGTGAGGGGTTTCTGAGGTTCAGGACCCCTGATTGGCTGACATTTGTCTAGGGGTGTCTTGGTGAGTGTGTGCTGGCAGGTGATCCTATCTACCGCGGTTGGAATGTTAGGAATTTCCTTTGGATGGTCTGTTCTTGGGTGGTGCTCAGGTAATCTTAGTTTATGATCCTTCCTGCAACCAGGTATTGCTTCAGGGTAAATTACTGAGACTCTATCCATGGCTGAGTCCTACTCTGGCAGGTGATAATGGTTGGAAGTAAAGAACTTCCTTTGGGCAATCTGTTAATATTTAGTTTATCACGGCTGGTTCCTACAATATATAATATGGGGCTTCATAAATATTTGTTCTCTACTTAGAGCTAGAAATGAAAACAAGTGAAGGCTTTGCTATATAAGACCTACCCCACATCTACTAAATTGTCTTCAGTAACTCTCAATCAATGCGTTGTGATAGTAGTCTGTACAGCATATGTAAGAGCATAGGATAAAAGAGAGATTGCGGAGGACTTGCTATATAAAAGGTGACATTTCAGCCAGTTGGTGGTGACACATACCTTTAATCCTGGTCTTCAGCAGGAGGAAGAGGCAGGTGGATGGCTATGAACTTGAGGTCAGCCTGGTGTATGGAGCAAGTTCCAGGACATCCAGAGCTATACAGAGAAACCATCTCAAAAAAAAAAAAAGTGACATCTCAGGGCTGGAGAGATGGCTAAGCAGTTAAGAGCACTGCGTATTCTTACAGAGAAACAAGGTCTGGTTCCCAGGACCCACATGGCAACTGACAACCATCTGTAACTCCAATTTCAGGGGATCTGACTCCCTCTTCTGACTTCTGCAGGCACCAGGCGTGTACATGATGCACTTTCACACATGCAGGCAACATACTCATACATAAGATAAAAACAAATACTGTTTTCAAAGGTGACATTTTAGCTTCAAAGAGCAAACAGCAACCCAGCGTGCACAAAAGCAGCCAGTGGAGGAATCACATAAGGAAGACAGAAGCGACATTTTACATAAGGCTCCAAGCACAGAGCGATGTATAAAGCACATAGGCGACGGCGGGGACGGAGGAAGGGGAGCTGGTATTGCAAAGGCTCTGTGCTCTGCACCAGACTGAATTTCATAGCTACCCAGGCCTCCAGCTGGATGCACTCAGCAAAGAGCATATTTGAGCTGATCCCAGGGGAAAAGTGTCAACACCTTATTAGATTGTCTTTTCCTACCATTTGGGGCTTGGTTAGTTTTTGAGACAGAATCTCCATCAGTGTCTATAAAACTGGTCAGGTCAGCAAACAGGAAGAAAGTCTGAGAGACTGTAAATGAGATCACAGGCTGTCAAGGGCCTTGGATAGGAATGCAGTCTGATATAACAAAACTATGGGCCATAAGGTTGTACCAGGATGTAACCTAAGTGGGCCTTCTTGTCAGAGTCCTAGAAATGACCCAGGTTTACAGCTGGGAAGGGAGAAAGGCCATACTTGAAGGACACACATGCTTAGGCCTTAGGCATGATCCATTATTGTTTTAACATAAAATATCTCTGTGTTAAAAGAACAATATAGATGATCTTCACAGCAAATTTTGTTAATTCTGCAGGCATTCTTAACTCAATTGGCAGGAGACTTCACCCAGACTTGGGAATGAGGGGCTCCTTTCCCATGTTCCCTCAAATTCTACCTTCCTATCCTCCTTCAAACTCTCTGTATCGACCTTGTGAATTTTATGGAAACCGAACCTTCTCAAGTAAAAAGTGTACTTAAGGGAGCACAGTGTTGCTGTAATTAGCAAGTTTTCAAGGCTGTTGGCATCTGATTCCCTGCGCTTACCAAGGGAATTACATAAGCAATTTTTTCTCAGAGAAACAGAACCAATAGGAGAGAGGAGAGACAGTGGAGAACAAACCTATTGGCTCATAGGGACAACAGTGGTGCAGAAAGCTGAAACCAGGGAGGCTCTTGGTAAGAAATCTGAAGACAGGGGGTTGGAAGATCCCTTCTTTCCTTCTTCTTGGGGGAATGGAATGAGAAAATGAAAGCTGGTCTCTTTGTTCTATTCAAACCTTCAAACGGATTGAAATTCACCCATGTAGTGGACAAGCAAACTGACACATCAAATTAACCACACCAGAACTACTGTCTAAACATTTTAAAAGGATGTGCCAGGTGGGTGTGTCCAAGTACAAAGGGCCTGTGTCTACAACTGTCAGCTTGAAATCTCCAAGGTCTTTACTAGCCCAGGAATTAGGAATGTCTTCAGAAATTCTCAGCCCTTCTTCTAGATAGTGACCTCACCTGGCTTACCGAATTTCTGGCTTGCAAGCTTTTGTTATTTTAGGGTCTGCCTGGAATTCTCCAAGGACATCTACCACATCTTATCTTCTCCATCTGTCTGCGGAGAGGGCACGGCCTTTATTACTCAGACGCTCAAAGGCCTCAACGGGGCTGACTAGGGCAGTTACCTAGTTCCTCTTTCTTAGAGTCAGCAGTAGGAAAACCTGTCCAAATTAGATTTACAGAGAAAAACGGTCCCATGATCGAACATCACGTGGCCTGCTGGCTGGGGATGTATGTCAATAGTACCAGTGTAGGTCTAGTATGTATGAGACTCTGGGTTCAACCCGCAATATCTTCCCAGAGAGAAAAAGCCTATTTCATAGCTGAATCCTAATATAGGCAGTTTCGTTGGACAGACCATGTCTTTCTTTACTCCTTTTCTACTTCAAAATCCACAAGCTGTCCTAGACGAGACAAAGATTGCTAATAATCAGGAGCTCTAACACGGACATCTGGAAGTCAAGTACTTCCAGTTCATTTCCCCAGTTCCCTATCACAGAGAAATTAAAACCCTATTGTCGCCTCCAGGGCCATCTTTTGCTAGTGGAACAGAGGCCCGGAACGCCCACCGCCCACAACGAACTCTGCAAGCGCCACATCCGGTTCAGCCACGCCCACCACCGCCGCACCACGCCCACGCCGGAGTTGCCCGGAACTAAGATGGCGCCTGAGGAAGCGCGGTCAGAGATGGGCGGGGCCTGGGTGACGCAAGAGGCGGAGCCAAATCCTGCCCCGCCCAGCCAGCAAGGCTGGAGGGCTGTCCTGCCGAGAGCTCTGTTGGCTGAACAACAACATCAGCACATCTGCTCTCCCGGCGTCATGAGGCCCCTGCTGCGGGGTCCGGCGATGAACGAGGAAGAGGAGAACTCGGACAGCACCCCGCTCCTGCCGAGCGCCCGGCAAACCGAAGCGGGTGAGCGGCTGCTAGGGGTAGCGTTCCGGGTGGCGGGTGGTTCCTGGCCGGGGGCATCTTGAGGGAGTGGCTGAGGGCTATGTGGGGACGGGTGCAGCCCCGTGGGACCGGCCGGAGCTGCCTGCACTGGTGGGAGACTGAAGCAATTCGGGGTCGGGGGTATCCAACGAGTCAATGAGCCAAGGGCCAAAGTGCTGCTCGCTGTTCCTCAGTGACCGCCAGGTTTCCGCTTATGCCCGTCTGCAAGCATGTGATCAGGTAGCTCCTTGGGCAGGGAGGAGATACACGGAGAGAGAAAATAGTTGACATCTGTTGAGTGTGCGGAGGACAGTTGCATAATCCCGCGAATATCTTGACTTTGTGCTGTAAGAAACTAAAAATATTGCAGACATTTCCATTTTTGCTCGTCTATCAGACTAAAGTTTAAGAAACAGGTTATTCTCGAGATGGTTATCTGTAGCGCGCTAGGATAATGTACCAAAGGTCTTGCAGTAGTACTTCAAAGAGCATCTTCCCTGCCTGGGGTTGTAGCTCAGTGATAAGAGTTTTGATTGGCAAGGTTCTGGTCCCCATACCCGCTATGCCCCAAAACACAAGTATGTGTCTTCACTGGATTTTGCTACACTTTTGTAACGTAGCTTCTTGAAGCTACTGAAACCTAAATGAGCTTGCACACATTCAAGGATACAGGAATGAGAAAGGCTTGAGCTGGAAAGCTGCCTTTGCTGACCACGGAGAGTCGCCAGTAGGTATGTCTTCTGTGAACATTACCAAAGGACTCTTTCGTAACTGCTTTAAGCTTGAGCAGATAAGTACCCTTCCTACTTGTGTGTGTAACTACCCTACTGTGATGACTTTCTGACTTTGTTCAGACACTTTTGTTGTTTTCTTGGTGGTTTGTTTTGGTTTTGTTTTATTTTGAGAATAGTGTGTTTGGGGACTGGAGAGATGGCTCAGCAGTTAGA